AGGAATCCCTTTTCTGAGGGCAATGAGAACATCAAGATAATTAGCATTTCAATCTAGGTTAAGAGGATCAGGAGTAGTAATTGAATGACCAATTTCTTCAGGGATTGAATCCAGTATCAGCATCTGACTAGATATACTGTATTCAAGAATCTTGTGTCTGTGGGAGTAAGTTCTCAACTCTGACGTATCTAGTTTGTCCAGATTAAGATTGTTCAGGTTTCTAACTGTATAATTAGGAATTGAGGTCGGTATAAGTAGAAGCAAGTCCAAAGACAGGAAACCTTATATTACTTCTTATTCTCTAATCTACTTTCAAGAGATTACTGGAATAGCCAGGAATATTGGTTTGAATTCTCTGAATTTGGCATCCATATTGACAAGCGGTTTCCTTGTGGAAGGAATAACATTTATAACCATTTTGTTTTCTGGAGTAAAGACACACCTAAGAGCTCAGGGGTCTAATTTTTTCTATGCCCTCTTATGGCAATATATACCCAAAGAAGTGAATTAATAACTTCTAAAATTTCTAACGGGTTTTTTAAAACTAATGGTTTCAATGGCCTTCGATTAATACGGTAAGCAATGGGCAAGACTGGATCTCCCCATGAGGTAACAGGACGAGATCTTGCAAGTGTGTATGTATTCAGTACTATTATCAGTTCAAAAAATTTTGACTTCTGCATCCAACTTTGTGTGTAACATGTTGTGGAATGACTTAAAAGAATAGAAAACCTTGTTTTGGCATGTAAAAGGTATGCCCAAATTATTATAGTGCAAAAATTACTAAAGTTGACAAATCAACTATAGATAGATAATGACACAATTTAAGTGCGACCTATGCATTAAATTGAATAGTTATAAAAATGACATAAATTTTAGTTCTAATCAAATGATAAAAAGCTCGTGTAGCTTTTGCAAATTCACATGCAGGGGAGACCAATGACTCGAAATTGTAACTTTTAGATTAACTAGAATAAGTTTTTTTCTAAAAAGAAAAATAATAAATAACTTAATCTCTTATACAACTGGATAGCTTGTCAATATCCAGATAGAAACTTGCCTGCCATGCAGGGGAGACCAATGACTCGAAATTGTAACTTTTAGATTAACTAGAATAAGTTTTTCTCTAAAAAGAAAAATAATAAATAATTTAATCTCTTATACAACTGGATAGCTTGTCAATATCCGGATAGAAACTTGCCTGCCATAGCTCAGATTTCGGAGGGAATCAAAGAGCTGTTACTCTTCATTAACATATAGAGCCTATCTTGTAGTCTACTAGAAATAATCTTTTTCGTTTAATTTTCTGACTTCTTCCTAAAAAAAACAAGTAGTGTAGAATTTAGCTTTGCAATTAATGTCATTGGCGCTTGCACTTATGGACAAAGGAATTATTAGAAAAACCCGGAACATGAAGGACAAAAGACTGTGTAATGGAGTATGTGCAAGTAATAGGATATTCACCTGTCATAGATGATAAAGACCTGTTTGCAATATGGAGTTCTTCATTAGCTGAGCATGGTGTATAGGTTTCAAAGGTCTTTGAAGAGCCTGTCATATTCCGAAGCTCCAGAACCTACATGATATACATGTCAATTTTTTCTTTAACATTAGCAAGAAATGTAGTACCTGACTTAATGAAGTTAAACTGGGTTTTGGATGATTGAGATTCGAGCTGTGATAAAACACAGCTTAAGTTATATATTTGCATTGGAAAGACGTTCAACTCTAAACTTACTGGTACCTATTTTCGCAATTCTCTTTGCAAACCTTGTCTGCTGCTATGGTTCCTGCTATTTTTCCTGCTGTTTGGAACCTCCTGGGATATCGACTCTCTTTGTTCACAAACGAAGGCAAGGCACGTGCACTCTGCATGGAGGCTTGATGCCATATGCACTGTTACTTTATGCTTACAGGTGTCTTTATCACTGAAGAAGGCAAGAGACGTGACCCTGCAAGGGGACTTGGCATTATAGGGCGGCATCCTTTTCTGGATACAAATGACATGTCAATGTTCTCTGCCCACAACCAGAGGCTAATAACTCCAAGGAAGATTGATGTGAACCAGTGCATTTCAGCACTCTCTCTAGTTCCTGTGTTGGAGTTGTCTCTCTTGGTTTGTATGCATAGCACTACTTCATCGGGAAAAATAAAGCCTGAGCTGAAGTTGCCTGCAGGGCACCTGAGGAAAAAGGAGGGCAATGAAGTTTTTTCTGAGAAGTTTACTTCAGGAATGTGAAGCCCTTGGGAGTTTGCGAGATCAGTTCTGGAAGTGGCAGCAATGACGGCATGACTCTAATGCCACGTTGATAATGGTAGAATCATGTGGAGAGGATGTTTATCTTTTTTATATATTTCTAATATGGATGTTTACAAACTACATATACAACATCCCTTGCACATGGAAAGCTTAGCTAAAGATGGTTTAAAA